GTTTCCACTGAATACATATCGCTTTCTCACCATTGTAAAGTCAAAAAATTGTAGGCTGAACCATCGTAAGTAGGGGACTATCTGTATAAATGGTTCTCACTTCAAACTGTGACTGGGTTGGTTTAGTAATGGGAATGGTTTAACAACTCTGGAAAAACCCAAGAAGCCATGGGCAGACTAGCTTTATTCAACAGTTCCTGTGTGATAGATTTTTACTATGCTAGCTATTATTGATATAATTTCATGTTTGCCTCTGAAATTTCTAAGATGTGGTTAACGCAGTCTAATTTCCAGATAAAAAGTTTTTCTTTTCCATTAGCTAAATATTTATTAATCATTTATCCTACGAAGATGCATTTCTTCTTCATTTCTGCATTTCAAAAAACTTCGAATTTAATGCTCTTTCTTAAAAGTTTCAATTCAGTACATACTCTGATTTTCTTCAAGGGCAATTAAAACTGAAGCTTATTGATGGCATCAATGTTTAGTCTATTAGTTCTTACACTATAACTTGACCTAATAACAAATTCCAGGAAAAACTAAATAACAAATCTCTAATAATAGATATTTGACTTGTAATTTTCTCTCTAAGAAAAAACTAATAGTCCCTTTAAAAAAGAAAATACTAAGTATTGTGATTTAATTATTCTTAAACTTGATAATAACCAGTGATGATTTGAATACTTTTAATGTGCCAAGACTCATTCTATTTTACATACATTATTTTATTTAATACATGATTATTGTTTCCCTCATTTTCTTAATGAGGAAACTGAGACATAGAAATATTCAGTAGTTTTTCTAAATTCACAAAGTAGATAAAATAGAGAAGCCAGGATTTGAAACCATGTAGGCTGATTCCAGAGCCCTCAGCCTCAACTATAATGCCTCCCCACTATGATTCCTTAGTATTTATTTATTTCATGATTTTGTATTTTTTTTTGCAAATTTGGACTCCTATGAGAAAATTATAGGCATATTAGGATGAGTTCAGTAACATTTTTCCTTAGTTCTTTCAAGCACTTTTAATATTTATTGTTGTGCTAACCATAATAATATAGTCAACCGCTGATAATTCAGAGTGTTGTTTTGTGCTTTACCATTCATTATTTGAACAATTCAAACAACTCTGTTGAATAACCTAGGAAATACTCTTAACCCCTGGGATTGGAGGGGCACATGAACGAGGAGCACTTTGAGAATCTGATGAAAGCTAAGTATCTGTTCCTAGGAAAGTTTCACTCATACATAATTTTGCATGCAATTTTAGGACTTACTGAGTTTATCAGGTCCCTGCTATGGTTCCTCATTGACTAATACACTGACAAAATATCCCAGTTTTTCCAAGCAAGAGTCAACCAATCCTTCCCCATTTGCTTCTCTGAGAAGCAAAGCACACCTGTCCTAAAGCCCTGTCTTCTTCACAGCCCCAAAACTGAAACCCTTCTCTTGACTGTCTTGTAATTTTCACTACGACAGCCTTAGAAGTGAATACAACTCATCGAGTACCTATCAGACAGTCAGTCAGGGTTTCCAGTGCTCAGCAAGTATCCACTCAGAGGATTTCCAATCCGACAAACAGGNTTCCATTGGAATTAGGAATAAGTATAGAAGAGTTCAATTTGGTTCAGAAAACAGTTATGATGTGTCTGTTCTGTGCCAGGGGCTGTGTAGCTGCTAGGGTTCAGAGGGAAGAGATAACCTGCGAAGTCTCAAGGAGCTCGTGGCCTAATAATGCTCTCTCACATATCCTCAGCATTATCCTCCCCACTTCGCTTGCTCCGCTCTTGTTCATTACCTGTGCAAGCTCTGCTGCCTCCTGGGCTTGCTTCATACCTTACCTCACTCTGTCCCTCTGGTATATTATCTTTCCTTTTAACCACAGCCAACACCTCTTCCCCAAGTGTTTAGGATGTAACTCCACTGTCCAGAAAGACTTTCTGAGCTACATTAGAGAAGTTATAAATATTTATTTTTATTTTTCTAAATTACTAATCACAAGCAGCAATAAAACAAAGATCCCATCATATAATCTGAAGAGGTAATTTGGGGGCAACAGGGACCCCTTAGTTTCATGATTAATTTTAAACTTATTTGTAGTCGATTGGTGATATGTGTGCTTAGCCATAAACACACACAAGTAAGTCAAAACAGTAATCATATTTGAAAACAGCTTAAGGGGAAAACCTAATGGTTCATGGCAAATGTGTGTGTCTCAAGAATTACTTTTAAAAGAAGAGTACTTATATTCTTGCCTAGATAAGAAAAAAAAAATAAAAGAGACTTTTCTTTCACCTATCCTTACCAACAGCAAGAATTTATATAGATTTATCTCCAAGAAAGCTGGAAGATCAGATCTGTGGAAAACAGATCTGAAAACAGAAATGAAGTACATGGAAAATGCTGTAATGCTAAAGTATTTTTCTAGGTCATCCAAATTATTTAAGACAGTAATTTAATTTCTCAGAAACATTCCTGGTTTCTGGCCTGGTTGCCTCAGGAAACTCTCAGCTTTTTCCCTTTCTTTTTCTCCTTACTTCTCTTTCCCTTTCTTAAGTTCATGTACTCATATGATTCCCTTCCTCCCCCACCCTTCCCCCTTAAATAAAAAGTCATTATACCTGCACTTTCCAGAGACTCGAAAAATTAAACTCTGGTTGTTGAATAAATGACCACATTTAACATTAATGAAAGTATCCTAATCCCTCTCTAACTCTTCTAATTAAACTTTCTTTTCTAAACAAACAATAAAATAAACCCCACATATAACTAATTCATAGTTTTAAAATTCTTTCCTCCTTTTATTGCTGTAATGCTATTTTTTCTATTGTTTGTTTTAAGCATGCAGTATTTCAACTAAATTTAGATTACATAAGCTTTTTATAATCTGATCTTGAAACTTCACCACCATCTATAGCCATGTTATAAAGAAATATGTTTTTAAGATAAACAAATGCTTTGCTACTATATAGCCTGTTTTAAGCTGGAAAATGTTTCTAACAACATAGATATTTATGTATTTTGTACTCAGCATCATTAATTTACAGTTTCACTCAGAATGTTGCTTTTTAGGCTCTTTTTAAATTTAGAGCTCATATTATCGCCTAATTGGTAGTAATTCACTTCATTTTCAACATATGAAGCACGTATTAACAGTCTAGCTTGTAAATTCTGATCAGTCCATGATAACTGATTAGATTAAATATTACTATGTCAAGCAAGTGGCCTCGTACTTTCTGTCATTAAAAAATCCAAACTGGATTGACTGTTTCCTTCCTGATAGGATAGCAACTGGCCTGCTAAATTTCAATCAGATGGTCATACTGCGTCAATATACCATACTTTCCCAATGCTACTTTCTGATAACTCACTCACTGTGACACTGTGCCCTCTATCATCTTTTTCAGGGTGTCCTTTACTTCTGTGTTCCTCAGGCTGTAGATCAGGGGGTTGAGCATGGGAATTACAAGACTATAAAACACAGAAACCACTTTGTTGTACTTCCATGAATTCCCTGCTGCAGGATGCCACAGGTACATGAAAAACAGTGTTCCATAGAAGATAATGACCACAGTGAGGTGGGAGGCACAGGTGGAAAATGCTTTGCATCGGCCTTGGGAAGACTGGATTTTTATAATGGAAAAGAGGATGCAAATGTAGGAGATGAAGACAGTCAGGAGGGACCCAGTGAGGTTCACCACAGAGAAGATCAAGAGCTGCATTTCTTTCTTGTGGGTGTCAGAGCAGGAGAGGGCAAGGAGAGGGGGGTCAGCACAGTAGAAATGGTGGATGACGTTGGAGCCGCAGAAAGACAGCTGGAAAGTCAGGGCAGTCTGTATCACAGAGTTTAGGAAGCCGTAGGTGTAGACCCCTATCACCAGCTCCTTGCAGACCCGCTGAGTCATAATGGCTGTGTAAATCAGGGGGTTGCAGATAGCCATGTAGCGGTCGTAGGCCATCGTGGCCAAGAGGAAGCATTCCGTAGTGGCAAAAGCGCTGGAGAAGTAGAGCTGGGCAAAACAGCCAGAGAAGGAGATGGTTTTTTTCTTCACCAATAAATTTTGTAGCATCTTGGGCCCAATGGAAGATGAGTAACAAAGATCAATGAATGCCAGATGGCTGAGGAAATAGTACATGGGGGT